AGCCCTCCACCCCTTGGAGCCTATTTACAAAGACTTTGTTTCCATTTTTTCCTTTTCTCATATTTATTCCTTTCCCTTCTTTCCTTTCCACGACCCCTTCTCCTTCCCCTTCCTCTTTGGACCTTTTCTTCCTACTCAGCCATAAAGAACAAGAAACTAGAGACATTTATAGCTAAATGGATGCACATTGAGGCCATAGTCTTAAGTGAAATAAATAGGACACACATGTGTAAATACCGAATCGTTTCTCTGGTGTGAGAAACTGAAAGTGTAAATAGGGATCAAAATGTGTCATAGATAATGTGAAACATTCTTGGTCCTTTAACCATGCTAAAATTTCTACTTAGGGTTATTTTCAGTTTTCCCAGGTTATCAGCTCATTTCGCACAATTCCTACACTGAGAGTAAGGTTCTGTGGTCACATCAACAGGGATTTTTGTGTCCTCTTCATCTCTGTGTTTTGGCAGATATTGAACCGATTTTCTACTATTACTATTATCAGTTGTTATTCATAAAGATAATAATGGTGGATATTTTTTGAGTGCTTGAAAAAAGACCAAGCCCTGGGTGCTTTTCACATATTTTCTGCTTAATCCTGTATTCACCCTGTGATATGTAGTCATTGTCACTGCACTGACACAGGAAGAAGTGTAGGCAAGACACTTGTGTTCTTTAGTCTTTTTCATCTTTTCTTTAGCTGTTTCTTAACTGGTGTTTTAAACTTTAAGATCATTCTTATTTAAAAAATAAAAGATTGAATACTCAGTCTTCTTTTTGTTAAGTGGTTAATTTATTCTGTCTTTCTCTTTAAATAGGGCTGTAAAATGAACCTAGATCTGTTCCTTATTTTATAGCAACTCTCAGGAAATTATGGACTTTTGCTTCCCTGCTGGTATTTTTCACATGTCTACCTATTAATTTAGAGGCTAGCACTTGAGGAAATCAGGCAAGAGAAAAGGAATGTTTTTGCTGTGGTGTCAGTGAAACATGTTCGCCTAAGTATCAGGTGCATATTCTTTTAATTAAAATAACTCAAGTATGGTAGAGCCTCTTCAACTGTGTTTCTCCCTTTTTCTATAAACATCTTATTAAGATAAATGGTCATCCCACAATTATTGGGTAAAAACTAAATGAAAAATGGTCTTGCACCTCATGGAGTTTATGGGTTAGTAAGATGTAGAGTGGTATTTTAAATAAGTACATATAGGAAAATGTGACAGTATTTTATGAGTCTAAATTTGAAGTGTGAGATATGCTATAATAGCACATACAACAAGCACCTAGCCTGGTCTAAGAGTGCTCATTTTCTGAAGTGATGTTTAAAATGAGATTGAAGTGTTCATATTACTTACATGGAATAGGATAAATCAGCAGGGCAGGGCGGGGGTGGGGGTGTCTTAGTTTGCTCAGCTACTGTAATAAAATACCACAGCCTGGATGGTTTAAACAACAGATGTTTATTTTGTCAGTGTTCTGCAGGCTGGAAGTGCAAGACCTGAGGCCTTGCTAACGGGGTCGGTTTCCAGTGAGGCTTCCCCTTCTGCCTATAGATGGCCACCTCCCTGCTGGGTCCTCACAGGGCTTTTCTCTGTAAGATGGGGAGAGCTCTGGGGGTGTTCCCTCTTTGTATAAGGACAATAGGCCTCTTGGGTGAGGACCCCACCCTTATGACCTCATTTTACCTCAATTAACTCCTTAAAGTCCCCATGTCCAAGTGCAGTGACACTGGGGGTTAGGGCTTTGACGTGAATTGGGGGGAGCATAATTCAGTCCATTACTGGGGTGGTGGTGGGATGGGGTGGAAGGTGAGCATTCCAGATTGTGGGAGTACTGCAGTAAAGCACGCAGAGTTTAGAAGGGGAGAAGGAATTGAAAGTGTTCAGCGTGGCGTGAGTGGGGTGCAGGAGGTAGACACCAGAGTGAGCTCTCTTTAGGTTGGGAAATGCTTGGGTATTGCAGAATTTTTATTTTAGAGCTTTGGTTTAGCATAACATAATGGGATTGAGAGTAGATCTGGAGCTTAATAACTGCAAAACCTTCAGCAAGTCATTTGTATTAAGCTCTAGTTTCTCTAATTTAAAAATAAGAATTATAACTCTTAATTCAGGAGATTGTTGTAGTATATGACAATTTGTAAAATATCTTGCAAGCCCAAAAGCAACATAATAAATAGTGAGGTTTGGGGGTTTGTTTTGATTTTTGCTCTAAATCAACTGGTTTCATTATATGAAATTGGTCTTCCTCCCATTTGTAGCCATCAACCCATTTAAGGCCCCAAATGGACCGCTGGCCTTCTCCCTTACTGGGTCCCCTCTCCAGAATTCCTTACCACTCTCTTTTAACAATGTAATTTTTTAAAAAGAACTAGCAGGATTAAAAGAATCAGGCTGCTCTTTGGATTAATATATATAGTATGCTTCTTTTTATATATTTGCAAAATATATACAGTATACTGTTATTCCCAGTGATTCTGTTTCTTCCCTCTTACTTTCATTGCCTGGGCAGAATTATTCTCACACTGCCGAACTACTTTCCCGTTCAGGTCAAAGCATAGACTAATAGCATTTTCTCAGCTCGCTGAGCTCTCTGCTTTTCTATGAAGGAATTTCTGAGTGACCCAGAAAGAAGTGGTAATTTTCACAGTGACATGTCTCTTTTATTTTCTGTCATACCCGAGTGCCTTATCCTTCTGTGCAAAATATACGTGGATTTACTTATGAGTGAAGTATTTTAAAAAACACATTAGTATTTCAACTCTAAAGTCATTGTGGTCTCTACTTTGCATCTGAAATTTTAATCTTCCCCGTTTTCATGGTTTTTTTTTTTAAAAGCATCTTTGAATTCTATTTAAATAACCCATAAAAGCTAGTAGAGAATATTAAGTCAATCAAAATGTTCCTAAAGCCATCAGATTTGTAGAACAGACCTGCCCACCTGAAGAGCTGTTGGCATCTTTATTGTCTATTTATGTGACTTTTCCTGTATCAGGAGCCCAACCATGTCATCATCAGAATAATTGTTTGATTAATACTATATAATAAAATACTCTTAGCAGTAGTACAGAATTTAATTTGCATTTTAGGATAGAAGGGAGAAATAAACCAAAGGAACATTCAGTGATTTTTTTTTTTTTTTTTGGTACTGGGGATCGAACTCACAACCTTGTGCTTGTAAGGCAGGTGTGGGTACCACTGAGCTAAATCCCTGGCCCCTAGTGGTTCTTGAGGGTAGAAACAGATCACCTATCCCCCTTACTGAAGCTTAGAGTGACGTTTTATTTCTTCTCAGTCTTGATGCCACAGTGTGACCATTCTTAGGAAAGTCATAGAGTTCTTTTCATGGAAAGACGATCGATAAAAGCGACACGGAATGATGAAGGTGATTAAGCTACCATCCACACTAGTGCTCGAAGTATTTCTGAACCGTGAGTGGACCTAGCTTTAGTCTCAGAAAATAAAAAGTTAGTACACATAAACTCTTTAACTTACCTGCTTGCTAAGAATAGAAATATTAAAGGTATATCAAGATGTTTTTTCTACAGATAGACTTTATGTACAGAATTCTTCCCTGTTTCCCCTATGTGATCTCGATGCTACCACCTAGTGGAATTCTTGCAAGGTTGTCAGCAAAGGAAGGTGACTTTTTTTTAGATACTGGGGATTGAACCCTGGGCCTGCTGCATGCTAGACATTCACTTTGCCAGGCCCAAACACTGTGAAATTTATCACAGGAAAAATGTCCGTCATGATGGGTCATTGTTACTACTTTTTTTGGTACCGGGGATTGAACTTGGGATCTTGCACTTGCAAGGCGGGCTGTGAAACCACTGAGCTAAATCCCCGGCCCTTGTTACTTCTTTTAAGGTAATGCAGCAGGTTGCATAAAATACATGAGTTCCAAGAGGAAAGAAAATATTCCCAGGCATTCATACGCTAGTTAATAAAACGTTATTAGCTTGTCCACAAATAAGTGTATTTGTTCAGAAACAGGAGCTACATAAATTCTTTCGGTGATGTTTATTATATTTTATCTAAATTATATCGAGAAGTGTCTCTTAATTCCTTTCAAGAGTTCATAAAAAAAAAGTAAAATATAAAGCTCCTGAGCACGCATGAAATGAAGATAACCTTGGTACTTTCTTATTTGTTAGACCACTAAAAGCATGGTGATCAAATAGTCAGCTTTTCTCAAAGCTGGGGAAAAAAAAGATGTATGTATTAATGCCAATGTTTTCCCTTCCAAAGTGTGAAGGCTTTCAGGATCCTCATCCTTTATTGGTAACCTTACTTTTATTCAGGGTCACCTGTTGTTAAAGAACAAACACAGACCAGCCATCAAGCAGATTCTCTCTTTGTGGCTGACTCATTTCTTTAGCTCAGTCGTCTGTCAGCGGTTTGTTCTGTAGCTGCCCAGGTCCTGCTTGGCCCTCATGTTCCTGTACAAGGCTGATGAAATGAACCTCCCATTTCCTAAGAGGGCTCACTGTTTAGATGGCATTATAGGTGTGGGCCACCATGCTCAGCTGAGTCTGATGTCTACCTCCAGAAAAGCTAGTCTTACTCTGTTGTATAACACAGGGAGGTGTGGTCAGGGTCCACCAGCTGATGTCCATACCTGCCAGAGGCCCTCACACATTCTGGAGCACTTGTTAGAGGAGCAGATAGTATGTGGTATCTCTAAAGACTAAAAACTTGGTTCTTCCCTTCCTCAGTTTTCACCAGTGCAATCTTCAAAGATGTTTCATAGCTGGTGGTTTAAAATAAGCCTTTCCTTTAAAATCCTATCAGCAACAACAAGAATTCATTTTTCCTCTAAAATTATAACTAAGAAAACAACGAAAAATGAAATTTTACTCTGTCCTCCATGTTTTCTTAAAAGACCTGAAAAGGCTTTCTGTCACTGGCTTGCCCCTTCTGGAAGATAGTTACGGCCTATTCTATTCTTTCATACTGTTGTCTACATAGTAAATTACAAATGTGTATATGTTGACTGTGTTACAGCATTCTCTTGGAATCAAGAAGCCAAGCAAAGCACTGCTCTTTGTAATCCTGAGCCCAGTGGGGCCTTATTTTTCAAGTGGATCCTTCAAGCCAGTGACCCTGTGGGCCACCACTCAGTATGTCAGAGCCTGGCAAGGTGGAACTGGGGACTGCAAGATGGGAGGGTAAGTCTACGTGTCTCTGACAGAGAGAGTCATTCCTGACCATTTTATAATTGCCGTTTCACTCCAGTACAAACACATATAACAGTATTTCAACACGAGTGCTCATTTTTTATTACCTGGTTAGTTCACCATGTTTTAAATAAATACTTGTTCAAAGGATTGGTCTGGTGTGAGAGAGAAACTGGATATGATACATAGGCAGGACCCACCATAAGGGCAGTGGGTCAGATCAGCTGCACTTCAGCCCTCCTGCTTCACCGTGGAGCTGTCTTCATGGCTGCAGATCCTAGCCTCACCTGCTGTGATCTGGTGGAGGAGCAGCCCTGCTTTGGCTGTTAGGCTGATCTCTGGCCATATGTAGCTGGCAGGAAATACAAGAGCATTTGAAAGTGCTGGACAATCTCAGGAGTGGACTTGGCTTCGATTTGGAAATGTCTCTTGGGTAAGAAGAGCTGGCTCAAGCCTGTGCTCTTCTTCATCTGTTTCTAATGGTAGTGCACACCTCCTAGGCACCAAGCATTGGATTCAGGAAGGATCCAGTGAGATGTTGCTGACATAGTAGAGTGACAGGGTGTGCAGAGCCCTCCTCCCTAAGGGAGGCAAAGCAGGAGGGGAAGGACTTTTTATTGCAGTACTATCTGGATATAATATTTGTTAGAACCTGAAGAAAATGCATCTGGGAGACAGCTTTGGGCAGAATTTAATCCAAACTCACCAGGGTAAATATCTGCCCCCAGAATTCCTACGAGTAGCTTTGAGGAAGCTGGGGAGTCTAGGAAGGTGACTTAACTCAAAAAGCCAGCTGAAGGTGCAGATGGAGCGCTCTCTGAGTCCATCTTGCAGGGAAGCTGATTTAGGGGGGTGGTTTATACAAGAGATGGGTGATTGCAGATCATGGGCACCTTCTCACAAGTCGAGGTCTATGGCTAGATAACAGCTGATGATCATCACCTGGTTACCACATGCTTTTTGGGTTTGCGGATTTGGAGAACAAAGATTGGTATTTTTTCCTGGAGATTCCTGTCACCGATTAGCTTGCCTGTGTAGTTCCTGACATATTACACAATGGTCAGGTTTTGGGGAGGGGGAGCAAGGTAACTGTCCAGGAGCCCTCTTGCTGATCACAAAACTCACGAGAGAAAACACACTTGACTTGATTATTGTGGAAGATGAGGGTCAGGAGAGCTTAAATAGGGAGTTTGGCTCAAGATCTGGTCTCAGTTTCAGCTTCAGAAATTGCATGGAAATCTAACTGGTGTGTGAACAGGTATTAATGCCTTCTGTACAACACAGAGTGCACCTTCATATAAACTATGGGGTTGTATACCACAGTGCAAGATATTAGTAATAGGAAAAATTGAGAGAGGCCTGAGGGTTACATGGGAACTATTTTTTGCTCAATTTTTCTTTATGTATATTTGGGGGGGGGTACCAGGGATGGAACTCAGGACCTTGCACTTGCAAGGCAGGCGTGGTGCCACTGAGCTAAATCCCCAGCCCTGTATCTTTAAAAGTGCTGTAAACAGTCTGTTAAAAAATAGTTTGACTCAGGCTCAGATGGACTGTGATCAATGGGAATTGAGTGAAATGTCTTAGGAGAGGAATAAACTAGAGGAGACAGGATTTGAGCTCATAAATACAAACAAAATTGGCAAGAAGAAAGGCAGTAACCAAAAGGGTGTATGTTTAACCTATGTGCCTGTTGTTTCTAAGATATTTTAAAGTGTTCTGCTCCTATGCTTCCAACCTAGAGAAATACAAGGAAAATAAATGATTCTACACTATCATCCAATTTAGCCAGCAGAGATATTTGGAGTAGACTTTACTACTTCCTTCAATCTAATTAAGTCCCCAATTACCCTCCAAACACTATTTAGGAACCCCTGTAGTAAATTAGTATCATTAAATCGCTCTTGGTTCTCATAAGCTCAAGGACTTGGACTTTCAGCTTTCTAAGTGATTCTGGAAGAGTTTTTTTTTTCTAAATTTAAGATTATACCATTATTTTGAAGCATTGGAGATAAAACTAGCCTTTGATTTCTAAGTCCATATGGGAATACTGATAATGGCACAAGGCTGAAGGAGAGGTCAGCAGCCTGACTTTGGTACCACATTGAGATTACTCACAGTGCTTTATCAACTGTGAATGCGTGGGTCCCATTTCTGCGGTGCAGATGACGCATCAGGACTTTTTTTTTTTTTCCCAGCACTGGAAATTGAACCAAGAGCCTTTCCCAGCCTTTTTATTTTGTTTTGTTTTGTTTTTTGGTTCCAGGGATGGAACTCGGGTCCTTGCACTTGAGAGGCAGGTGCCGGAACCACTGAGCTAAATCCCCGGCCCATAAATACATATGACTTTGTTTGTTTTTTGTTTTTTGGGGTACTGGGGATCAAACTCGGGTCTTTGCGCTTCCGGAGCAGGCGGCAAAACTACTGAGCTAAATCCCCGGCCCTCCAGCCTTTTTATTTTGAGACAGGGTCTGAGTCACTGAGTTGCCCAGGTTGGGCTTGAATTCATGATCTTTCTGCCTCCTAGAATGCTGAGATTACAGGTGTGCATCACCGTGCATGCCCAGCTAGCATGTATTAGTGTGCAGCCAAACTTGAGCAGGGCTGAGCTAGAAGGGTCTTTGATCATAACATGGTTAGTCCCAAGCAGTTTCTGAATTTGGACTGAGTCAAGTGTCAGGTCTCGCTCTGCCTCTGCCTCTCTCATACAATTACTCATCTATTTTTTTTTTTTTCCGCTCTCATTCTCCATTTAAGAGTGCAAGCTTTGAATTCAGAAAGACCTAGCATAAGAACCTACCTTCCTATCCAAACACATACTTTGTACAACACCGGATACAACCCTAATGTAAACTGTGGATTTAGGGAGACAAGGATGTGTGAGGGTAAGCTCACCATTTGCCACGCTGTACTGCAGAATAATGGGTATGTGGGAGCAAGGGGTGTGTAGAAAATCTCTCCACCTTCCTCTCAATTCTGCTCTGAACCTAAAGCTGTTTTTAAAGAGTTTAATTTTTTAAAGAGCAAAGAAAAGGGGCTGGTGACACAGCTCAGTGGTGCCATGCCTGCCTGGCAAGGGCAAGGTCCTGAGTTCAATCCCGGGTACCAGGAAAAAATAAATAAAAACAGAGAAAAAAATACCTCATTATCATGGGGCATGTTACCGGTTCCAAGTCTTAGCTTCCTCATTCATGAAATTGAGTAATAATACCGGCCTTACTATTGTGGATTGAGATGATATGTGGCGTGACTGAAAAATAGTGAATTAAATTTTTAAATTTTTTTTTTTTTTTGGTACCAGGGATTGAACTCAGGACCTTGTGCTTGCAAGGCAGGCACGGCTCCACTGAGCTAAATCCCTGGCCCCAATTTTTAAAATTCATTACAATAAAAAGCACATTGCCATTAATCCCTCTCAAAATATCTCCCCTACTCCTCACTTTGAACACGCCCCATCATTCTTGACACTTTCTGAAGCAGTTCTGAAGCCCTCCTCTCTCGTGAGTGTCTTTAGTTGTGCTGTTATGGCTGCCTTGATGTCCTGAATCTATTCAAAATGTTTACTTTCATTGTAATTTTGACTCTGAGGAAGAGGCATAAGTCACACAGCCCCAGATCCAGTGAATAAGGATTTGGAGGCACTGTAATGTTTTTACAAATTCGCTTTTCTGTTGCATGGGCGCTTGGTAGTGGCATTCACTTTTTTTGTTTTTGGTACTGGGGATAGAACTCAGGTCCTTGTGCTTAGGAAGCAGGTGGCAGAACCACTGAGCTATATCCCCAGCCCTAACTATATTTTTGATACAACCTTATAAAGACACAAAGGAGGACTTCCAGAGCTGCTTCAGAAAGTGGTAAGAACAATGGGATAAGTGTGTTCAAAGCAAGGGATAATATTTGAGTAGGATTAATGGCAGTGTCTTTTACTATAATAATTTTTTTCATTTACGCATTCATCGTGTATTTTGTTCATTCATTATATGAAGTGCTTAGGGATATCCTTGCCATACAGAAAACTCCCAGAAAAAATGGTTAGAGGTATGGGCTGGGAGTCTCACTGTCTCAGGATATCTTTGTGATTTTGTACCCTAAAATCCTTTCTTCCTCCAAGACGTCAAAGGTACAATAAAGCACAGGGTTGTTTTAAGACCATTCTGTGAAATGTGGTGAATACTCAGTACCTTGCCTGACACTTAATATGGTTTTTTTTTTTTTCCCCTGCGGTACCTAGGATCGCACTCGCAAGGCAGGCAGTGAAACCACTGAGCTAAATCCCCAGCCCTCTTAGTATCTTCTTAACAAACAAGGCTTTCTGTGAGGCTTTCTCACTTTGTCATCTCTGGGATTCTTTGTCTTAGGAGAAATCAGATTAATTTTACACAATAAAATTTATTCCCTTGGAGGGATGTATTTAATATCTCCAATCTCCCAGATAGATTTAAATTTATATTGAAAATTTTGGTAGCACTTTTCCCACTTTTTCATTTTTCTTCTTCCGTCCAAGAACACGTGTTTCTCTTCTGTTAGAAGCACTCAGGAGAGAAACCAAACGGTATGTTACCAAGTTGTCAGTTACTATGAGGACAACTATAATGCAGTTAACCCCTGAGGGAGGGTTTTGAGAAAAATTTGTTTCTGGGGGGAAAACATACCATCTCCAGAACACAGAATATACTCCTTCTTTCAGTGCCTTGAAACAGTTGTGTTGAATTTTTCTTTCCCCACCCAGGTAGCTTCGTGATGCTGAGGAACTACACTTTAAATTAGCCATGTTCTTAGAAGTTTGAGTTTTGTTCTGGTTTTGGTACTGGGGATTAAACTCAGGACCTTGTGCTAGCGAGGCAGGCGTGGCACCACTGAGCTTAAAAGGCCCATGTGTATTCTTAAAAGCTTCTTTGAAAGGCTGTTTATGCAGGAGGAATTCTGGGCTTCTGATGACCAGCTTAGGTCACATGTCCTCCTTTAATTCAGTCATAGCAGGACAAGATGCTGGGAATCTAAGCAGTGTGATGTGGCCCCATAGGAAGGGCTGTGTTTGTACAAGAGGGAGCAGGGTGGGAGAGGAAGCTGGGCAGGTGAAATGCACATGCTCACTATAATCCAGAGCTCCTGGGCTTAGCTTGCACTTTTATTTAGATAGCACTGCATATCAGAATCTTGGCTAGATAGAGAGATCATTTAAAAGGCCTAAGAAGGTATGTTGCTGACACACACTGCTATGTAGTGGTTTTAGTTGTGTGCTTACTAGTGTACAGTAATGCCTCAGTTCATGAACGTTTCTGTCCACAAACAGTTCATTTCTCAAAAGCTTCTGACAGACTTTGCTTCCATTCACTAGCTCCACATCAGGTCACAAAAACAACGGTGGCCGTCTTCCCTACACAAAGGCAAATGTCCCATCTTCTCCAAAATTGCAGAGCAAATTAAATTCATGAACTGAGGGACCATTGTACATCCTAGGGCTTCATTATCCCAGGGTGGGGACCAAGATTTATTCCCCAGCCTCCATCGTCTTACTATAGTACTTCTCACTCTCCTTCACTCATGTCTTCCACGAGCTAAGAAAAGTGAACTAGGGCCTTAAGGAGACAAGAAAGCATCATCTTTATTTGAAAACGATTGTATTTTATCTAAACATTCATCTATATTTTGTAATGTACCCTATACTTTTCTCATTTAGGTTTAAATATAAATTTAAAGTATTTTTAAAAATTACTAAATTACATTATCATTCCAGGAAGATGTGCCACATTCCTTTGATTTTAAATAATCCAGAATAAATCATGTGGGTTGAAAATACTTTTTGGTACCGGGATCAAACTTGGGACCTTGCGCTTTTGAGGCGGCAACACCAGTGAGCTAAATCCCTGGCCCATTTTTTATCTCATCAGTGGGGATTTTAGACACTGAGCATTAGGTGTGCTTTAGATAAAAAAAAGTCTTAGAGAGTGTGGGCTTGCTGCCTTACCACTTAACTTGCTGTCATTTGATTCAGGTTACTTCTCCGAAGCACAATTTCTCATCTCAAGAGAATTAATGATAGTGGGTACCTCATAGGATTGATGTGAGGTTGAAATAATTCATGTAAAATTACTTGGTGTGTTGGAAAAATACTCAGTAATGTTTAACTGTCCTCATTAACTTGGCTGTTTTTCTGTGTTCTGGCATTACTTTTCATGTTAGGATTCCAAGATTTGGTTTTGCTCTCTCAGATGAATGCAATTAGTTCATTCAGGCTTTTTTGAGTTTCCTTTAATGTTCTGCAGTTGACCAGAGAGGGTATATGTAGAAGAATATAAAACATTGTCAATTCTTTAATTCACAGGTGGATGCAGTCAGTGTGGAAGATGGGGTTGGGTGATATATACTCATAATCAGTATGTCCTCTCTTCCTTAAAAGGAATTATGGTTCCTCTCTTTTTGCACAATGCCACGCGCTGGAGAAGAGGTGTCAGCAGGTCCTGTGGCTCTATGGAGAGGATCACCAGATAACTGAGGTCGGAACGATGAATCTTTTCCTTTACTGGATAAATGAAGATGGAGGTAATCCACACAGATGTCAGCTCTGTGCTTTTTTCAGTCATTTTCAGTGGGACTGGAAAGACAAGAACTGGAAAATGAGGACAAGGATATGGGTAGCAGAGTTCCAGAACTAAGAATATGTACTTTTACTGTTAAGTAGACATCAGTTTAAAGAAGGTATAAAGGTTTTGCTTTGTTACATTGTTTTTGCTTTTTTGGCATTAGATATACTAATTATTAATTCTTTTTTTTTTTGGAACTGGGGATCGAACTCAGGTCCTTGTGCTTGTGCAGCAGGCGGCAAAACCACTGAGCCAAATACCCTGGCTAGATGTACTAATTATTGATGTCAAATTAAGCGATTTTTTTTTTTTTTTGGTACCGGGGATCGAACTTGGGTCCTTGCGCTTGCGCAGCAGGCGGCGAAACCACTGAGCTAAATCTCCAGCCCAAGTGATTTTTTTTTTTTAAGAGTAGGAAGAATTCATTGAGAGAAAGATAGCTTCTGTCTAAGAGAGACAGAAGGGGAACTGGAAAGTGAGTTGCCTGCTCACCCAATTTCTCAAAGGTGTTTTATGGGACAAAGCCATGAGGTGAGGTGGGACAATACTATAGTCAACTAGTAATGTTTATTAAATGGGGATCCAGTGGGGAAGCAAGTTACCTAGCAAGTGTACAAGGAATGAGCAAGGATTTTCGGTAAGGGGTGAGTCAGGGATCTTTCTTAGAAGATCTTGGTCCCCCACCCAAATGATTGATACTTATTTAGAATATCAATCACTGCTATTCATCCTTAGGGGAAGCAAGTGGGTGTAGTTGTCTCTCTTCTTTTATAATGCTGGCCTTCAATGAATTTGTCTTGATCATCCTCCATGTTGGCTCCTCGAAGGCCGGCCCTGTCTTACCGCCAACTTACCTGTATGCAATATTACCCCCTCTGAAGAAATACCCCTAACTGCTATGAGACGGCAGAGGGCGAAGACCATGGCTTCTTCTGGCTGAACAGGGCGGTAGTTGTGACCAGGAGTCAGAGTTACTCTACAGAGGGTCTATCTAAAGGCCCCAGATAGGCACCAAGCATTATCTTGAGTAGGTGGATAGCTTTGAGTCATTCTGAAAGCTTTGTCTTGAAATCCAGCAGCCACACAAGAGGGAAGTGCCTTGAACCAAATACTGTTGAGAAGTCCATTCAATAATCTTGGTGGAAGATCTCCAAAATGGTATAGGGGGATAGATGTAACTCTCAAACCTGCTAGATATCCGAAATGTGAATTCATGTTCTCTAAAATTGAAGAATGAATTCTAGGAACAACCGAGCTTAAGAGTAGGAAGAATTTATTGAGAGAAAGATAACTTCTGTCTAAAAGAGACAGAAGTGGGACCGGAAATTGGGTTGCCCCAAATTAAGCGATATTAACTCACTGTGAGTTAAGATTTGCTGCCCCATCACCTTTTGCCATTCCTTAGCATTCTGCTGCCTCAACACTCTGCATTAGGAAAAAGGTTTTAGATCAGTGCAATGGTCATTCACCATATACTATGTAAGAAATGCTATAGTAATAGAATATGCACAGTCTACAGATAGGAAATTTACTGAGATGTGTGTGTGTATGTTTATATACATGCATTTGGCATCTATATATAGATTAGGGCACAAAAGAAAAAAAAATACATATGTTTGTTTCAGGGGCTAGGTTTTGAACCCAGGGCCTTCTACATACTAAGCAAGTGTTCTACCACTGAGCTACACATCCCCCAATCTTGCTACAATTCTTTTAACAATTGTTGCCTTTTCTAAATATTTTGATAATATATTAGAAATCCTCCATTTGATTTAAGTACAATACTAAAGACAAACCATTGTATGCTGAACTTGTACCTAGATCCCAATTCATTCAATAGTATTACTATGTGTATACTGCAGAAATCAGTGTTTCTTCCTTTAATATCCTGAATGTTCACTGCCTTTCTTTCTATTCTTTTCTGTTTTAGTTGCCATAGACCATAGGGGTTTAGTGAAGTGCTGACAATATATAGTATTAAGTTAAATGTCCAAAAGGGAGGAGAAAAATAGATTATGCACTTATTTCCATTAGAATTTTGATAGTCATACAAAATTTAGAAACACATTTTTAGGCTTGTTCATGCTCTTAGACTACTGATTTCACACTGAGTGCAGAGACTCAAAATGTAAAATGTTTCCAAGTACTTGCACGGTCTCAATATTGATTTTAATTAATATTTTTTCAAATGAAATTTTTATTTGACAGCAGTCTCTGCTGCTTTTATGTAATTTGGCTACAGACGAAGGGAAGTAGTGATTCAGATGTAGCTGAAGCCACAGCTGGGACTATTTTGAGTATTAGCTACAGAGACTCACAAGATGACCCTTGTTCCTTCTGGGTGGGAGCTCACCTTCTCCTGCAATGGCCCTTGGTATAATTCCTGGCATGTGAGAAGCCAGATGCGGTTCATGCTCATTCTTCCACCTCTGCTGTTTGTACCTGGTACTGTTTAAAAACACAGTTTATACTGGAATATTTGTGACTTCTAAATTTGAGTTATTATTTATACATACATCAAAAGTTACACCAAGAAGAAGCTGTCCAATGTTGAACTCTGATAATAGATTGTACTCTTTTCCTACCTGCCTGTCCTGCCACCTCCTAAAACACCCCACATATAGCCCCAAAACAAAAACAGTTAATATTCTGAAGTGGTACCATAATTATTTGTGGATGGGAGATGCCAGGATTTAAGCACCATCTGAATCAGAGCTACATGATTTAACCAGAAACTGTCCTGGTGAGAAATTGTTCTTTATCCAAACAATAATCGTGCAGCATTTCTGCTCTGGCTTTTAAAGGTCAGAATAAAAATGAGTGAATTTGTCTTCTGCCTCTTGTAAAACATATAAAATCCTTAAGAGTTATTCTTTAGTACCCTTGCCTGAGACAACTTTAGGTTCACTGTTCTCCTTCAACTGGGTGTTCACCTAACAGGTCAAATCAAATTTGAAATAAGTAGAAAGGAAATAGAATAAATATTAGAACAGTACCATGAAATCAGAAAATAGAACCTTCAAGATCAACCTTTGAATAAAAAAAGACATTGAAGGGACTCTGTAAAATGATTTTAACCATGTGGCTTTCAGAAAATACAAAAAATACTTTTGAAAATCCACAAAATACTGATCTTCACAAGCAGGAGGCACAAACAGAATTCTTTCAGTAGTGATTTTTTGGGAAAGGAACTGGCATAGGAAGGTAGATAAGGCAGAACATGTGTGTTCAAAGCACAGTGCTGTGCACAGAAGCTATTTGGGGCACTTGGACTAGAAATCATGGGGATTTTGCTTCCGGTAACCAACTGTGGTGGTTAAGATTGCACAAAAATTGTACGTATCCTTCTTTGTTTTTTGTTTTTTCCACAGTACTGGAGATTGAACCTAAGGGCTTTATACTGAGCTACATCCCCAGCCGCCGCCACCACCCCTTATTTTGAGAAATGGTCTCACTGAGATCCCTAGGCTGGGGTCAGACTTGATTCTTCTGTGATTCTGCTGGGATTTCAAGCATGTGTCACCATACCATTTTCTTTTTCACTCTATTCATGCCTAGTTAAACACATACACTTACTTTGCGCTGTTTTAACACATTATTTTATCAGTCTGGGACACTGGAGATACTTAGAAAAGTGAAACCCAGCCCTCACGTTTAAGTCCTGTTAGTTTAGGAAATTGACCATGGCAACGAGTATTGTTGTTGCTCAGCCACTCGGCCCATAAACCTCTTGGACACATCACATATTTATTTCTTGGAAGCCCTCTTCTTCCTCACATATCTGCATGGGGAGGTCTTTTACAGCCTCCAAGTCTTTGCTCTCAAATCTCACTGTCCCGTTGAATGTCACTGAGCTCATAATCAAAGCTGTAAACTCTGCCCCCCTTAGTCCTCAGCACTCCCCACTGTCCTTCCCTCTTTTTCCTCCGTGCTCTGACATGCTATTTAACACCATAATTGCCTGCCCCTGCCTATTAGAAAATAAGTAGGGAATTAAATCACTTTGGTTCATAGAGCTCAGAACAGCAAACAACACTTCATGTATATTTGCTGAATAAACGAGGGATTGTGTGGCTGGTGTTCAGGGCAGACGTGCAGACCCACATTTCTCCTCTCCATTCATGCCTGACTTCGGGCAGTCACAGATGAATCCTGCTGTTACTGCTGTGAAATTCCTCCTCTCCCCCAAATGATCTCTGTCAAAAACAAGCTGCGTTTATAGGTTCTGTTTTCCTCCTGTTGGGCAATCTGGAATTTGTTCTGGCTCTTGTGAGCATGTTTGTGGTTACAGAGGAAAATGAATATTTCTCACCCAAATGTTGTCATGTCATCGTCTCTGTCTGGCAACCAGAGGAGCAGATGTTCTGTTCCTTGACCTCAGGCTAGTGGTTACAGTTCTGGGTGTTAAATATATTTCACAAAACAGCGTTTACACATGCAAAGCTGCTGTTCTCATTTAACTTTACGTAGTTTTGGAGCTCAGCAAGCTTTAGGGAAGGTTTGTTTCTGAGGCACTGCATATGTGCATGTGTTTGTTGGTGTGTACAATAATTGTACACACATATAGATCCATACATTTATGCATTTAACCAGCTATCATAAAACACATTTATTTTGAGATCTTCCATACTTCTAAACATGACAAAAAGTAGCCCTGAGAACATTGCCAAGAAAAAATTTCTTCTCTCCTGAAAGCAGTTTTCAGAAACAAAATTCCCCAAAACCATACTGCTGTATCCTAGCAAAGTCAGTTCATTCATTGTTTTGGGTTGTTATTCGAAAACACTTATGTACCGGTCTCAGCCAGCTAGGAAGCTGAGTTTTGGGGATACAAAGATGAACATGGATCTTTGGGCACCCAAATAGAGCCCAGTCAGAATCACAGTGAAGCAGGCAATCCCAGAGCCAGTGCCTGCTGAAGGAAAGGGTAGTGGACCAGGGTCAAGCCACTGAGCTCTGGTCCTGGCTTTTCCCTTGTTACCAACCTTGACAAATCGCTTATGTGTGTTTCTTCTTCTATAAAATAAAGATTGATTTAGGTGTGTTCTAAAGTTCTTTTTCACTGCCTAAAAGGGCTGGGAGAGCCCAAGATACCAGGGAGATTCCTTCACAGTTTTTACTGTCTGGCAGTCCTTCTAAGCATACTTTGCGCATTCCTCTGCAAACATGTGATCATCCATTGTAAGGTTTAGCATTGTGTAAGGTGATGAATTAAGGTTTGAAGATCCAGTCTGACTCCTGGGTGTAAGAAGGGGGAGGAAAGGGAGATGTTGAGTACCAGAGACCACCTGTAATAAGAGGTTCGTGCAGGTATGGGCCACACTTGATGCCTGCGGGTGGATGTCACGCCCACCCCACACTGTGGTTCAGGGTACTGTCATCCAGTAGTGGAGACTTGGAATTTAGAGACTTTCTCTTCTTTAGCGATCTACACACTAGTTCAACCTAAGCCCATTACATTTAAATCTTCATGAGTGAATGATTAAAGGATGATTAGGATACATTGAAGATTATTAGATGAGTAGCTTGTTCTCTGGTTTGTAAAATAAGAATCTACCCAGAACCCGAATTGATATGCAGGACTTGACAGTGCAGAACAGTAACACGATCTTTATGTTTATCACTAGCAAAGTTGTGAGAAATGGTTTTTTATCATTTTTTTGTTCTTTAATTTTATTCGTACATTTTAGGTATACAATATAATGACATTCATCATTGGAAGTTTGCACCTTTACAAACTCTATCTTGGTTCTTATTTTTTCCCCCTTCCCCTGCCCTCACTTTTAAATGGTTGTTGATAAAAGGCATGCCTAACATAGTTACATTTTGAAAATCTTCCCATTCTAATTGACAGAAGAAGAACTGGCAACTCCTCCGCTAGATGGCATCATTCTTCCAGGAGTGACAAGGCAGAGCATTCTGGACCTGGCACGAGAGTGGGTGGGTGCCTTTGACACGGGCAACTTTCTTTTTTTTTTCCATTAAGTTTATTGGTACATTTTAGGTGTACAATATAGTTAACATTCATCATTGGGATCTTGTACCTGTACATGGTATCTTGGTTCTTATTTTTTCCCCATTCCCCTGTCCTCCCTTCACCCCCTCCACCCTTCCCTATTTACAGAGACTTTGTTTCCATTTTTTCCTTTTCTCATATTTTTTCTTCTGCCTTCTTTCCTTTCTCTTACTCCTCCCTCCCACTTCCCCTATTCCTTTAGACTTTTCCTATTTCACAATATCAGTTATACATTTTGATCCTTATTTACACTTTCAGTTTCTCACACTAGAGAAACTATTCAGTATTTACACATGTGTGTCCTATTTATTTCACTTAAGAGGATGGCTTCAATATGCATCTATTCAGCTATAAATGTCTCTAGTTTTTCATTCTTTATGGCTGAGTAGTACTCCATTTTATTAAAACAAAACAAAACAAACAAACAAAAAAACAACCACATCATCTTTATCCAGTCTCCAGTTGATGGGCAGTTGGGCTGTTTCCAAGTTTTAGCTCTTACAAACTGTGCCGACAGACAACTTTCCTAAGCCTGAAACAAAAAGGAATCAGAAGAAGCCTAGAGTCCTGGTGAAATAATATCCTGTGGTTGCAGCCAGTGTTATCTAATCTTTAAATTTTAACTCCAGTTAAAAGGACTCTCTAGAGCGGTGATGGCGGATCTTTTAGAGACCTCATACCCCAATTGCAACCCCACATCCGCTTATTTATTACTAAGTGCCAACACTGAATTAAACCTGAGGTTTTAGTTTAGAAAAAACAACTGTTATCCGATGCTTGGCTGCTGGGGCAAACTTGACTCTGCATGCCCACTGCGGCAAGCGTGCCATAGGTTCTCCACACAGCTCTAGAGGACCATCCTCTCATGACTGTCAGGTAAGTGCTGTCTGTAGGGAGGACAGCGAGAAACCAGCTTAGCAAGATGTGCTAGGGGAGTATTCTAGTATTCGCCTCAGTGTCTGTACCAGGCCTCTCTTGCCAACTTAGCCTAGTTTATGGTTTGTGCTCTTCTATCCAGACAGCCCTCAACTTCTCAAGCATAAATATACTCCATAATTCATTGCAGTAATGGAATTTTACTGACATTTATCTATGTGTTTACTACCATAACATCATTGGATTGGCTGCCTGCTTTCCCCCTCCACTGCCCCTGTTGCCCACAATTCATATACATGGCTATTCTAAGGTCAGAACACTTGAGGCAGTTGTGAAGTGGTTTTCAATAGACTTTCAAATCCATGAGATACAGGCAAGACTATTAAACTGTTCGTTATTTTAAGTGACATAACATTCATAAATATTAAATGAGTGGGTTGTCTGGCAGTGGTTCTTGGATGGAACTTTTGACCCACATGTTAAAGTGGTCTCCAAAGACCATGGAAAGGCTTTGAGCATACTGTGGTCAGTCAGTATGAATAGGACAAATGTTTAGCAACATACATATTATCTAGGGGAGCACTGGCAATTTCTCTGGAAAAAGACTTTGAAAATAGAGGAAATTTGCTATAAATAATTCTACAAAACCCCGAAGTAGACAAAACCCAACTGCCACATGCTGGCTGGCACATTGGGCATGACATTTTACAAACTGTTGGTATAATTTCAAACAGCTTGCCCTGTCCTAAATATGTTTGCAGTGGAAAGATACATTTTTGAAGCTCAGTAATTTGTTTTATTAAAGAAAAAAAAATCAACTAAGTGCAGAAGGTTTGATGACAAGTTGCAAGTGGAAATGCTTTCCCACACTAATGATTTGCTAGCATGAAAAATAGGCTATTATAGAGGAAGTTTTTCTTGACTCCTTAGCTGTAATTTATTTTAAAAGCTATTTTAAGACAGTGGGACAATAAAATGCCAAGAGGCATGTGGAGGGTTACCGCTACTTGCCAAACGGGAAATTGTCCAAAGATAAGTGAGTGGGTGAACAGATTAAAAACAATTCTGCTTATTTACAACAGAGGATTTTTTCTTTTCCAGAATACAGAACTCAGCTTATTCCCAATAAAATTGGCTGGGCTTCTGGAACTTATTTATTTACCGCTGAACACATAGTTGCAATTACAGAATGAAAGAAATTGAAACTTGGGAAGAGCCATATTTGTAATTGCAGACATATTTTTCCTATCCTTCCAAAACTACTTACAGCATAGTACATTGTTCTTCTAGTATTTTGAATCTGGCCAAGGGCTTTGATTTCCATTTTTATATACTGTGGATTTGTAGGTCATAAAAAACACTTCCATCTTATTTTTCTTTCAACACATCCATTCGTTATTGTCCTTAATTCAAATTGCCTGTTGACATACATTGAACTTTAATAACTAAAAGAATGAGACTTAAAGATTGAATAAGTGTTAAACAGATAGATTAAAAGCACCTGATTTTCTATTTTCTATCCTTGAGCAAATATTCAAACAATTCAGCAGAAGTTGATGAGATTACATCACTTATTCCCTGTTGAAATTCAACCTAATCCGATTCTAAAAGAGAAGGGAGAAGACTATTATAAAGTCACCTTGTCAGTTAATTTGGAAAGAAATATATTTGCAATGCAATTTTTAAACTCCACATATACATTCAATTTTTTTTTTGGTACCAGGTATCGAACTCGGGACCTTATGCTTGCACAGCAGGCGCCAGAACCACTGAGCTAAATCCCTGGCCCTACATTAAATTTTTAAAAATAATGAGTATTTCAGATATTTGAACTCAGTCTGTTTTTTAATCCCTAAAAGGCACACTAGAAAGAACCACACCCAGGGATTTATCTCAGTGGCAGTGCACCTGCCTCACAAGTGCAGGGTCCTGAGTTCAATCCCTAGTACCAAAGAAAAAGGACCACATTTGAAACAAATCAGATCAGACCTAGGTTCAAACCCAGTTTTTGCCATTTATTGGCTGTATGGCCTTGGGGATGCCCTTTCAGCCTCCATGAGCCTTAGTTTCCTCATTAGTAAAATAAAGATTGTAATTCTCTTTAGAATTAAAGATCTTGTTGTGTGATGGGTACATGATAAATGGTAGCTGTGACTACTAATATGTAATACGCTACTCTCCTTTATGATAAAATATGTGGAACATGCATTAAGTAGCACATGGAATGAATCAATTTATGAGACTTTGTCCACGACAGCAATAAAATTCAATAAGCAAGTATACATGAAGACATACTATGTATCTTGTGGTGATAATCATGTATTTTATATTCTTTAATTTCATTTACACATGCTGTGACCTTGAAGTAGGATGCTTAATGCCTCAGTATATTTACCAATAAGATGGTTTGCCCTTTTCAGCTTTCCCCCAAAGGATTATGACATTATCTGGGTTCAATCAGAAAGTAAAAAGATAACTATTACTTTTTTTTTTTAATATTCCTAACAGGGTGAATTTAAGGTGTCAGAGAGGTACCTCACCATGGGTGATCTGACCCAAGCCCTGGAGGGGAACAGAGTGAAGGAGATGTTTGGCTCTGGTACAGCCTGTGTTGTCTGCCCAGTTTCTGATATAGTGTACAAGGACCAGGTGAGACAAATAGTTCATTTCCTGCCACTTCCACACATGTGCCTGTAATTGAATTAATTTTTAAAATGTGTGAATGAAATTCTCCTTGGACCCAGGATGCAGAGAGCTGTCTTACAGTATGGCATTACATCAGTTTGGACACTTTGTCCAGGCAAACCTATATTGGTATACAACTTCTGTCTTTACAGTGATTTCAAATAAATAAGCTCAAACACAGAAGGAACTCAGGTTTATCTTTTGTGTTATGTTTGCTTTACCTCAGTTCAGGGATTGGAGCTGTGTTAATAGATTAGATTTCAGTTTTCTTGTTTCTAAAAGTACTTTCAAACTACAGGATTAGGAATGACAAATTATTTTGGAAAGTGCATTTGAATGACCAACTCTTTTATTTATTTATTTATTTTTAAATAGACGAGTGTACAAATATTTTTCATTTGGCAAAACCAATGCATTTACTAAAATATTCCAAAAGGAACTCAAGGTTTTGGTTGGAAAACACGTTCTTCTCTTAGTAGATTACTCTGGTTTTATATGTGCTGTATTGCAATTATCTTGTCAATTTTTGGCTTTCCCTGTGAACACAAATTTCTCGTATTTAGGATTAACATCATCATCTGCCTTTATCACTTAAAGCCTTGTGGGAATTATTCTTTCAAGATGAATTAGCATAGATGAGTCACATGAAATATAAATCCCACTGGTTTCTAAGTTCTGCATTACAGTTTTCCTTCAGCTGATCAGGTTATTCTGAAGACTAATGGTGGCTGGTTCGTTGCTTCAGGTTTTAAAATTTGTTTTAAGGGATGGTTGCTGACATAATCCCACCTACCAATTGATTGTTTCACAGATCTATTCTATTCTACATCAATACTAGTATTTTATTATGATAATATCTACATTATCTGTCTACTTTGTTAACTAAAGTTGTCATTAGGTCAGATATTTAAACATTCCATTATTTCACCTCTAGAAATAAGTTTTTAAAGTTTAACATACAGTATTTTAATGGCTCTGTTCTAGGCATTTAGAGCCAAAATGTACATCCAATTATCCTATTACACTAAACAGCATAATAAGTATTTGAGAGCACAAACTGTCTATTAAAATCAAATTATCAAAAGACCAGAAGCCAGCAGGCATGAACGGACGGGACACAGATACAGATTTGGGGCATGGAGTCTCTTTCAGCCATGAATTTATTTAGCTGTCCAGAACTGTAGAGTTTGTGGTTCTTGGAGGTCGGATGTTCACCAGAGATAGGAAGGGAGCCCCTTTTGTGAAAGCATAGACTCATCTAAATTTATGCTCCCAAAATGACTTGCTTTAATTTCTTACCAAAGTATCTTTGCATTCTCATTCTTTGTCTTCAATCATTCATCCTTACAGAGCCTCAGAATTTTGGAAGACAATTTCATTTTGTCATTATTTTAGGGTCTACTCTGTCCTCGATTCCTCAGATCAGCCTGATGACTGGAATATAAACCATTTATGTCCTCAATTTAGTTAATAGGCAGTGAACAACCTATCATCAGCTAGTATTCATTCCAGTTCAGAATAAAAAATCTTTGGAGTAAACAGGTAGTGTGTATAGTAAGTAGGTTACAGTGCTATTTGTTATTTAGGTGGAATTGCCTTAATGTAGTAAATTGGCATATGTTTTCTCTCTGTCGTCACTCTATATATAGTGAATATTTCCAAATTATCTCATTTTTCTTTCGTAGATAATACATATTCCAACAATGGAGAATGGGCCTAAGCTTGCAAACTATATCTTGGACAAATTGAGTGATATCCAGGTAAAGATTTTTTTTCTTTTTAAATACTACCTAGGGCCTGGGGGTATAGCTCAGGGGGAGAGCACATGCTTAGTATGTGGAAGGCCCTGGTTTTGTCCCAACACCAAAAAAGAAAAAAAATATCACCTTATTCCATTGGGGGCTTAGAACCATATTGTATTTCCATGGAGAGAAGAGAGTACATTGTACAATTTGTATCAGTAACTTAAATTTAAGGATGGTACTCCTGATACTGTGAGTGGGCATTAGCAAAGCAAAAATGAAAAAGGGGATTCGTGTTTTAAAAAGCAAAGAGAAAAAAAATCTTGCCAGGGACTCCAAATTACAACATTTAGAAATCTCATTAAAAATACATTTTTGCTTTAAAAACCTTGAAAGTAGAGGAAAACCCAGGCAGAAAATAATTACCTGTGATTCTAACTCTGAGATATTAGCTACTGTTAATTTGGAATGTCTACACTTTCAATATTTTATAACATTAATGCTTCCAGCTGGCTGTTTTCCCCAGCAAAGTGGATTCATATCATACATAATTTTGTTGCCTGCTTTTTTTTTTTTTAACATGTTAAACCCTTAACTTTTTCATCTCAGTAACTAGTTTTCTCAGTACCACTTATAAAGTTCAATTGAATTCCATCATGTTGATGAACCATAAATATTAAAAGAAATCATATTAGTGAGAATTTGTGGTGTTGGTGATTTTTTTCACTATTAGGAACAGGACATACCGGATCATTTCCTTAGGATAAATCCCTATGGTGGGTCAAAGGATGTGCAGGGGTTTTTTTATACTGCTAACTTTGTTTTACCTATTTTTTTCTGCACATCCACCTTCAGCAATGTCTCACTGGGTAGTCAAGCATACATAGCACATACCAGATCATAGTAGGCCATTGACAGAAAAGAGTGCAAGTATTTTACAAGTTTCTGAAGGATTTTGTTGGGCCCAGATACATTCATTGCCCACTATAGAACATATCCAAGGTCTGAGACTCAAATTCAGAAGTCAAATATAGTGACCTCAGATGGTATTGAGTCATAAAACTAAGCAAAAGTTATAGTTGTTTGCAAATGCAGCAGGTATCTAGAAAGTAATTGAGGTTCTTGAATTGTTATAGAATCAGTATTCTTTTTATTTATTCTTTTAAGTCTTACGTAGCAACTTTTATGGAAAATGTTTAGTACTGGTGGTAAAAGCAAAGAAGGGTTATGGTTTTTGTTTTGTTTTTTGTGGTACTGGAGATGGATCCCAGAACTTTCACACTGAGGTACAACCCTGTCTCTTTTTAAAATTGTTTTGCTTTGTGACAGCACCTTGCTAAATGGCCTGGGCTGGGCTCAGTCCTGTCTCAACCTCCCATGGTGCTGGGAGTACAGCATGAGCCACTATGCCCAGGTGCTTATGGTTTTTGAATCAGTGAGCTGTCTCATTTCTCTTCAACACAGACTTTCTATAAAAATTTTCTGTAAGCTAAAAGGAGTATCTTCGTATCAGAAAAAAAGAAAAATGGCACTCAGTTGTTTTCTGCCTTTGTATACAGAAACATAAGTAATTTGGAAAGATAACAAAAATTACTGCCTTGATGTTCAGACTTTTTTTTTCAGGGTTCCTGAGTAAATCTGATGAAGACAAGCATTACAGTTTTTGTCGGATAAAAAACATAAATAGAATTTAAAGATACATAATTGGCTACCTTATGAAAGCCTTTACTCAAGATTTAAGAGGTTTTTTTTAAGGGGGGAAAAAGTGTGGTCATAAGTCAGAAGAAAGATTGCTTTAGACATTTTTATTGAACAAATTGTACATTTTAAGCCAGGTGTGGTGGCACATGCCTATAATCCCAGCACTCACACCATGAGACCTGACTCCAAATAATAAAGTAAAATAATTTTTTAATTTAAAAAATTGTATATATTATAGTATTAATACACAAAATGGGACTTTAAGAAGTAAGAAAATTTAAACTTATTTGATTTGATTGCAAAGAGTTGACAAAAAAAAGTAGTCACTAAGTAAAAGAAAAGTTAAACTTTATTAAATTTGTGGTTGGAAGACCTAAGCAGAGGTGTTCAGTGGACATAATCATGAATCTTTGCGTAAGGAAGGAATTGCTGGGAGTATGGGCCGAGGATCTAGCTCAGTGGTTCCGCCGCCTGCCTTGCAAGTGCAAGGACCCGAGTTTGATCCCCGGTACCAAAAAAAACAAATATGACTCATCAACATTAAGTGGTGACAAATACGGATTAGGATCCAATAGCATGAATAAAAGAAGCCCAAACACACAATTTTGGGGCAAGTTGGAAAGCTGTTACCAAAGTTCTCAGAAAGCACATTTTGTTTAAAGTCAAATGAGGCCAGAAGAATGTGACTGAAGAAAACGTTCTTGAATGATTCATTCAACAAATGGATGTATGGAATGTATGGATGTATGGAGGTTACTCCAGGTGCTGGGGACATGACAGTGAAAAAGACAAAAAAAAAAAGCCAAACCACACTGATATAAAGGAAGGTTAAAATAGACACTCAATATAAATGTGAGCCCATGTGAAAAAGTTTAAAAGTAAAAGATGTATATGAAGAAAGATGTGGGAACAAAAAAATTGAACTTTTCTCTCTAACTTTATTGCTGTGGCTAAGAAGTTAATAATTCGGTTTTACTCTAGGTAGTGAACTGCCATGTTAATAACACTAAAGTCTAATGATACATCCAGAATCCCATACTGGATAAAGGTGCAAAAGGATATAATCTCAGGAGATAATGCAGTGGTTCCAAATTAACCACAAACCAGAAGTATCACATCTGCTCCAAACTGTTAATTAACAAAAGACCATCCATTCATAATCTAAAACCATTTCTTTCTTCTTCAAGTATTTTGTGGCTGGGTGTATGGAACCTAAAGTCTCAAAGTTATCCTCTTACAAGATGGCAAATTGGTGCTGTCAGCCAAGCTACTAGGTTGTCCAATTCCAAGAAAAATAGTTTCAGTAATTACTGAGGAAAAAGCATAGCATTGCATCACAATTTACATTTGATCTCTTTCAGCATTACATGGAAACATGAGTGTTTCCTACAAAGTGCTCTGGTAAATTGAAGAAGAAAGGAACAACAATCACTAAAAACAAAAAATTCAAGATTCTTGCCAATATAACCCAGGGGGAAAATTCTTTTTAACCACAGATTTGCTTTTCGTTTTAACTTCTGTATTTGAGTAAGATTCTCTGAGGTTAAGTATTCATCCAATTAGCTAATTATCCATGTAGCTCCCTGGGACTTAGATTACTCTACAAATAACTCTTAGATGGGGAACATTTCCAATGAACATTTTTTTCTTTCTGTAAGTAATGAAGAAAAACATGCCTGTTTTTGTATTTATCCACAGTTAAACTTGGAGAATATTAGGCATGTTGTCTGTGTTATTTTTCTCTCCCATTTCTGTTTGCTGTTCCAGTTACTCATGGTCTTTTTTATCCTCGCTCCTGCTGTTTGGAGTCTTCTCCCAGTGTGCTATGCTCTCTGATGCCACTTGCCTTGGCTGTACCTTCTAGTTTGGTTACCTCATAAGGTCTTGGTTATCCTTCAATATTTATCCTATTACAACTCTCTGGAACAATATTGCTTTCCAGTGGTTCAGATACATTAACCTACTTAAATGCTTTACCTTCCTCCACTTTTCAGAGAGCCGGGGATTATCATCTTAGACCAATGATAGCAAACTTTTAGAGCTTTCGATGATACTGACAGCGTGCTACAGCACGCATGCTGTAGTTTTGCCACAACTGTCTTAGATCCTTAAATTATTTATAACTAGTCACAATCTTGTCTCTCTTCTAGGGCTGTTGAAATGTTGGAATTGTTTATCTCCTTTTTATCCCTGGGGTTCAGCACAAGGCTAAGGGCAGGGTACACAGGCATTAATGTTTCTTCAGAGAAAATAAAAGAATGAATAGCCAAGATGCCAAGAAAATACAAAAACAACAACAAAAAACATTGCTTTGGTATATTAAGACATTCTAAGACGAGACAGGAGAAATATCTTGAATAATGTTGTATTAGTCAGCTTCATGTTACTAAAATGAAATACCTGAGGCAGTTAACTTCATAAAGAGAAAAGGTTTATTTGGCTCACAGGTCTGGAGCTTCACGGTCAAAGATCAGCAGGCTTTGTTGGTCAGCCCCGCAGAGGCAGATGCCATGATGAGAGAGCATGACAGCAAGTGGTCACATCTCAAGCCAAGAAGCAGAGACAGAATGGGCTGGGCAGTCACACTGTTCCTACCATGTAGGCTTCCTCTGAGGATCAAATGAAGTAACAAGTCTGTAAAGTTCCCAACACAGTGGAGCTAGTGTGCATAATTGCCCAAAGGGTGAGAGCTTGGTAAACACCAATGTTAATTGAATGACTTGACTATAGAACTAGCTTTCAGTTGCCTAGATAAAATATTTTGCTTCATTAATAGTTTCAAGGATTAAAATTCAAGCTTCTTTTCAAAGCAAATCGTATGCTACTGCAATAACCAAATTGAGATTATGATATTAAATAATTTTTGAAGGAATAAGAAAAATTGGGATGCTAACAGCACCAAAAATTGACTTAGAGACCAAAATTCCTGTCAAGATGCACGAGGACAGCCGGGCATTGTGGCACACACCTATAACCTCAGTAGTCTTGGAGGCTAAGGCAGAAGGATTGCACCTTGGGCAACTTAATGACTTACTGAGACCCTGTCTCAAAATTTAAAAAGGGATGGGGATGTAGCTCAGTGGGACTCTGGGGTCAATCCCCAGTACCACAGGGGCAAAAAAGGAATCTAGAATTGTCACTTTAATATTTTTGTTCACAAAGATAAAATGCTCTTGAGCGTATGTTAGAATGACCTGGAAGTGCTTGTGGACGTGGACATTATTGGGACCCATCCTAAAAGTTTGTTATCCCATAAACCTGAGAGGGGACCTGGGAATTTACATTTCTCTTGTGTTGCCAGGAGATGTTGATTCCAGTTGAGAGGGGAATGCTCTCTGAGCAGTACTTCTTTGCAGAAAATAGAACCATAGGTAAATTTAATTCATTTTGAAAGCAGAAGCAAAATATAGAAATAGTGATCAAAAGGTATGTACTTAAATATTATTACATGAAGGGCCCACACCACCTGTGAATTTGGTCTTTTTTGTTGTTGTTTTTGCTTAGTTTGGTTTGGTTTTAGGTTTTCTTGAGATGGTCTCATTATATTATGTGGTCCAAGTTGGCCTTGAGCCCTAGATCTTCTTCTGCAGCCTCCCAAGTGCTGCGATTACTACAGGCATGCACCGCCATGCTTAGCCAGCTATGAATTTGAATTCAGCAATGATTATAAATAAAATCTGTGATTCTTTCCAGGTACTTGGTTGTTTATAAATCTCCCTAAGGATGTGTGTCATCATTTTGTAAGGCTTCTCTCCCCTCCTTCCTGCCTGTGTTCCTCTGCTCTCTTTCTGTCTAATCTTACTTTCAGTATGAATTTATTTGCTTTCATTGTTCAAAACACAAAATGAGCTTTGGCTGTATGAAGTTTGGCTGTATGAAGCTATTTCTGCATTGTGAACTTTTTATACTAAAACATATTTTCTTGCTTTTGTTATAGTATGGAAAAGAAAAGAGTGACTGGACAATCGTAGTATCCTGAATGAGAACCGCAGATGAACCGTATGCTATTGGAATAGGCTCTTGCACTTGGATTGTGACAGATTTCTTAAGCAACCTGTCAGTAGTTGTGTATAATGTAGTTTGTCTTATTTGTGTTACAAGGGTGATTTCTTTTTTGTCCTGTGCAAGAGAACACAAGTTGTAATCATTAGATGTTGCTTTGTAAACTTGGGAATAGCTGCTTACTTTACCTTTTACTAGAAAGATAATAATGTAAGCCATATAATGTAGAATTTTCCTCAGTAATTTCAGTGCCTCCCTTAATACTTCACTCAGATCCAGAATGTTGATTCTTTAGTAGAATGTGTGCCTCAACCAAATGATATTTGTGTGTGTCTGGAGGCTGACTTGTATAAACTCTGTAGGTAATGTTCTTTGTGACACATCATTATTTTTAGAAACACTCAGAAAGTATTTTGTTTTCTTTCTTAAATCAAGATCTTGAAACCCTTGATATCTGTCACATGTTTTTGCAGGCCCTTAATCCATCTGAAGGTACATTTCCTCCCTTTTCCCTGACCTCACAGTCTGCTCTAAGAGCACTTTGTGCACCTGTAAAACCTGAGCATGTTCACCATTGTCCTTTCCACGTGGTGTTGCACTTGGCTGCTCATCAAGCAACTGTAAGACTGAAGGTTTTATACCTTACAGACCTTTGTATGCCCAATACCTGGCATATAGTGGGTACTCAGTAAATATCTTATTGAATGAATGAACAAACATTAGCTTCTATAGAAGTGCACCTATGTTTCTATATTATGAAACCTCTTTATTAGAATTGTGACTGATTCTGTCAGTGTGTAATATTTACCTCATATTATCATTTTCCATGGACTCCTAAGTCATTAGAGGTACTGAGAGCCATAGTGAGTGAAGACTCTTGGAATTGAAGCAGTAGCCCTGGAGAGAATTCATAATATCATAACCAACCAAATGGAAATGACACATGTCATATGTGAAGTGTTAAATGCAAAATAAATCATTTGGAGGGAGGGGCAGAATGCAGAGATATTCTGGTTTTATACTTTGTTTTTGTAGGTGCTCTTTTCTGTTGAATGAAGATTGATTGAACATGTGGGTTATGGTGGAGGGGGAGCAATTTCAGAGGATGTTTTCCTAGTTCAGGAGCTATGAGTTAAAGATTGTATCCTTCCCTAGTTTATCTAGGGCAAAGTGAAATCTTGACAGAAAACGTTTACCCTTGGAAGGTCAGCTCACAGACATTGTATTTTGGTTTCCCTCAGTCCTAATAACTTTCATCTTGCTGATCATTTTTCATTCTCTTTTCTGAGCAGTGGAGAAAACATTCTAAAAGTTTGATGCATTGGAAAATTTTCCTTTAGGCATTTAACAACATAGCAAATGGGCTTTGATTCTTCTCCAAAACTTTTAGCTGTAGGATGTTTTTTTTAGACAGGAATGGTAAAATGAAAATTAGAGAAGTCCAAGATGAAAAGGAATAGTAAAAATATCTTTTAGGAGGCTTTTAATTGGTGATCTGAACTCTTAGGCAAGTCTTCTCTTTTAAGCCTGAGATACTTTTAGAACATATATAGTGTTCTAACGCAATCCTTTTGCCTTCCCTAAATCTTTTGATCTCATTCTTAATATAGCAATCTCAACAGGACTTCCAGGTAATTTTAACTATCAAGTAGTGCATAATAACTAGACTGATTCCTATTAGAAAGGGAAATTACTTGTTTGCCACAAGTACATGTCATACTTTGCAATTCTAAATTTAGTGTTCCCATTGTGAAAGTTGGAGAACATTATGTTTATATGATTTCTTTCAGAAAAACATGAGAGCATGGTGAACCCTTTCCACCAGACTCAGTAAGGGCTAAGGATATACACCTTAAAAGCTGGACATTTCTTAATACAGGGAATGTATCTGTCATTCTCTTTTAAGTAATACGAGAGGAAATTGACCTTGGAACTGACTTGTTAAATAGATTTAGAAGGGAAATCTGCACTTTTTTCTCTTGTGCACTGTTTGTTTAATTGCAGTGGAATAATACAGTCACATTATATTATTAGGCAAGAGTGCCACATTATAACTAGGCAATTATCCATTCTTCAAGACTTAGTTATCGCAACACTTAATTGATCATTTAAGGCGTAAGATAGTCTAACATTAGGAACATGTGAGGCTAATCTGCTCAAAAAGATCAACAAATTAATATTGTTGCTGATATTTGCATAATTGGCTGCAGTTATTTAATGTTTAATTGTGTTGATCAAATGAGATTCAGCAATTCACATAAGAATGAATATAAACAGAACTGGTGGCACTTAAAATGATAATGATTAACTTATTTTGCATGTTCTCTTCCTCCTACTTTTCCCAGTTTTTACATTTTAGACTGAGTTTGTCAGCTTTCCTCAAACACTTGAGTAAAAAACCAACATTTTAAAATGAAGTGTTCAGATATAGACAAAATCTGATCATTTCCTAAGAAGATTTCCTGTTAGATATTCGTTGTTGTTGTTGTGGTAGCCATTTGTCAAGGATTCGACTCTAGATACAGCACAAGAAGAATCAACTTCTGGGATGGATATGTACCATGCTTTCTAGTACAGTGAAGCTGGTGGGAATGAATAAATTAATAATATCTGGGTTGGCCTTTGCTTTCTAAATGAAAAGGGACACAGAAAAACAATGTCTGAGAAATCCTGTTAGGGAATCATATTTTCACACCTTGATAAACCTCCTCTATTCTTTTTTTTCCCCCTCAAAAGATTGCTTTAAGAAATAAACTACATGGTAACATGAAACATCGGCTCCCCTGAAGATGTGAGCAGTCTGTGTTACCCTAGGTAAAAGTTCTTCACCTTAAAATTGTATCTAAACATATGATCTTATTTGCCTCAAATCTGTGCATTCTTGGGCATTTGGAGGCCATTGAATGAGTATATCCTCGTTCAAATGATTGTAAGGACTTTTTATTAAACCTACAGTTTCAAATCTACTTTAGGGGAATTCTGCTATGAAAACAATTGCTAAAACAAACGTATTTCTTTACCTGCCCTGTTCATGCACTGGCATGGTGTTCTGCTTCTTTTCAAAATTATACGTTTGGTTTACTCTTTTAAGATTGGGAAAAATGTCTCTGAAAACATTTGTTCCCTTTCAGTAAGTGATATTTTCTGAAATATTTAGAGTAGTATTTCATCAGATGCACCAAGACAAAGGGCTTAGTGAGGGGTCAGAAGAACTCTTTCATCTCCTGGTTCTAAATATGATTAGAGAACCCTTGTAATATGGATTTCCTCTGCTGTGCATATGCAAAAACTTGTTACAAATAGTAATGCTGACAAGTAATTTTAGTGGACATTTTATGGCAATGTCTCTTTGTTTTGCTACAAGTAGAATTCATGTAGGTTTGAGGCAAAGGGTGGTAAAGTATGTATTTCTGGATAAAGATCGGGGAGATTATAATTCATTTGCCAAATGTTGGTTGAGCACCCACAAAAGTGCATCTTACACAACAAGCAATAGGATAGAAAGTTAGTTTTAGAAAATAAATAATATGTAAACATTACCTCATGAAGTTTATAGTCTATTACTTGAACTAGTTTTAGCTATAAAAGCAGTATTTGTGAAAGATTCAGTGAAGATAATAAAGAGGAAGGCCCAGAGCACATCTCTTAAGAAATCACAGTGAAGATTTCATCTCATTTTTAAGGACAATTTTCCTTTTTGCATCTCTAGTGCAAAACTCCTCAGTAAGGTTAATATTTAAGGTTATTAATCCACTGTGTGTGTGGCATGAATTACCTCCTGGTTTATGACTTGCTGTCAACCTAGAATGTTTGTTGTCTATTCTTCTGGAGTAATGTTATGGAACATCTTGCAGAATACTGCAGATTTCAGCAAACTTGCTGATCTTTTAAAATTCAAACCCAGATAATATTGAAATGAGTGATCCTAGAGTGAATTTTTCTAGAAAATGTTGATATGAATCAAGCTGTTTAAACTGTTAGCTTGAACGTGATAAATCCAGCTACTTAGAAAAAAATCTTTCATGTAACCATGATTTTTCAGTTTGAAGTTTTTAATAAGAAAGGCCATCTAAATATTGCCAGGGATTTAACTCAGTGGTGCCACCGCCTGCCTTGCAGGTGCAAGGTCCCAAGTTCAATCCCTGGTACCAAAAAAAGAAAACTATTGGAAAGAGATTAATTTTCATCATTTCCACAAAGCCCCCTTAAAATGCAAAGATAGATATGATAATTCATTTTTCCTCATTAGCATATAGAACATAATAAAAGGCTTCTCGTATTTTATTTGGGGAGGTTGATCATGAAACATACCAATAGGATGGTGTCTGTGGGTGAGTAATTCACAGGGGTCAAATAGATGTAAACACTTTTTTTTTTTGGTACCGGGGATCAAACTCAGGACCTTGCACTTGTGAGACAGGCATGGTGCCACTGAGCTAAATCCTCGGCCCCCGATGCAAACATATTTTCCAATAAATGCATGAAATTTCAGTCTTGGCAATTAAAGTGCTTTTTAAAACATACATTCACGAAATTTGGAAGTCTTGAGTCTGTCAGGAGGTATATTTTTCATACCATGATAAACCCAACTAACAAGACTTAAAATCTAAGTTGCCTACTGTAATCCACTATTGGTATGGTAAGAATTAATGTAAGCTATAGGAGTGAATTATACTTTTCACTGACAACTTTTTCTGGCTATCCAGTATCACAATGGTTAGGTTCCTTGTTGCCTGTTACTGAATTATGGAAAAAAATGAATGAGAGAAGTTATAAGAGAAAGAACACATGAAGGTAGAGAAGAGAAAGAATGATAGGGGGAAAAATCAAGTTGACTTCTATGTTGTCCAAAAGAGCCTTTTCCATATTTTACCAGGCACTGGGATCTTCAGCCTTTAATAAGTGCCAAATGCAAATAGTACCATTAAGAAGTAACACTAGTGGCCAGTCCATATGATATTAGAATCTGGCCACAGTCTTGAGCTTATTGTCTGACCGTTGTGTTTGGTAGATACCACTTTAGATTGCAACCAGTTTGGATGAGGCTTTATAATTGCACTGTCTATAAGATCTATTGTATCATTTCTTCAACCATTTTATTCTAAGATTCATGAAACATCTTGAAGCCAAATAAGTGACAAGGAGTAGATTATGGCTATTTTTTGCTTAGAAAAACTATTTACCACACATACACCCTTTCCTTGATAAAAGTCAGCAGATTTGGAAATTGATTATTATTTAGCTTTTTCCTGAAATGTGCAACATGTTGCAATTTTCTCAAACTGGGTTCACATGGTTGTTGAAATCATTCTCAGGGTTAAGAAATGCAAATATTCTCAATTTCTGCATCACCCATGAGTGTTTCAAGAGTTGTAGGAATTCTTTCAGAAGTATGACACATTTGAATCACATCTTTAAAATAAGCTAGCTAACCTGTTGGCATCTATAAATTCTGCAGATGTTTCCCTGTTGATTACAACAATGAATGACACACAGTTCACCGAGTCAGCTAATACACAGAGCTGGAGCCTGACCCACATTTTCAAAGAACTTGTGCCTATTTGATGTGGTGCCTGAAGGCGAATAAGTAGTTTGAGAATGTTTTAAAATTAGAGCGTATAGATAGGAACAGAAGATCATTTTAACTGTGGAATTTGTAGAATCTCTGCTTGCCATATTCCTCTAATTGTGTAGTCATTCTTGAATTCTCTATAAGCAAAAGTAGGTATCGATCCCTGGTACCACAAAAAAAAGTAGAAACAAAAAGTAGGTAGAAGGAAATGAAAACACTTTGTAAAGGAGGGTTGGCTTTCATGAATTGTTTAAAGGTTATGTTGAAAGGATTTAAGCTGGCTACAATGTAATAATGGGAATGCAGAGAATACAGTGGGTAAAGGAAACTACCTCATTCTGTGAAGGTTTTGTTAGAAGCACAATTAAACATTCTAAAATGGCTTTGTTGCCCAAGAGCCATCTGGTGTGAAGAACTCTATATTTGTTTGTCTAAAGGACCTGGAGTAATTGTATTTTGCTGGCAACAGACACATTCTTTATGTTTGCAGGTTCCTCATCAAATCTGTAATTATGCAGTTTCTGTCATCAATAAAACAACTTAAAGAAGTCCTGTTTGTGTAGTCTCATGAAATTGGCATTGTTGTGTGCATGAAATAATAATGCTTCATTACCATTTTATGATGTCCCAAGGTTTTTGGTCAGGGGATATAAGCATACTGTGGTATTTTTAAACCAAAACGACAGTGAGAGAGTGAAAAAGATTGAATACACCAAGAAAGACCTGAAACCCTAAATATAATTCACCCTTCAAACATTTGAGTAAGTACAAGGGACATTTTTAAATCATCCTTTTGGTCATGACTTTATCAGTAAACTTTAGGTTTGTCTTTTGAATTTTACACAGAATAATGGGATATGATTACCTCTCCCCATTTTCTGTCATAATGGATATATTTCCTTGATAAAACCATATACGAGTATGTGGTTAACTAGATTTAGAATAAAATAAACTTTGGAAAGTTTGTAAAAGCTATTTGATCAAAATCTACAGAACATCAGTAATAGATCCTTTTAGCACCAATCGGACTAATACTGTTTGTATCATCTCAAAAATACCTGTCTCTGAGAATAAAGGCAAATTCAAATACATCTGAGGATTGTATATTTCATTTTCTTATGTTTTTTTTTCAGGAATAGCGGACTCCGTAAACTACACAATATGCAGCTTAGATGTTAAGTCTTGTTAGTTGGGTCTATCATGGTTTAAAAAATTATTTCCAGACAGATTACTCAAAGCTTCCAAAGTTCTTGAATCTGTGTTTTAAAGAGCACTTAACTGCTAGAGCCTGTCTACCTGTAAAAATACTGTCCTTTGTCAAGATCTCATCGAGAAGTTACATGCAAAAACAAAAAAAAATTAAAGTGAAAAGCGCAGTATGGAAGGTCCAGGTGAAAGTTGTTAGTCAAGTTAGCTAACTGTCAGTTGTCTAACTCCCACAAGAGAGAGAACTGACATTTCAGAGGGTGATGACATATATTTGCTAGAGCTTACATAATTTATCAGAGGTGACAGCAGTCTCCAGGGTAGGAAGTGACCCTTTTGCATTGATTTAGTCAGGATCAAAAAGAAAAGGGGGAGGATTTCCAACTTTTGTAATGATTTTTCTGCTACGCTGATTCAATGTGATTTTCAGCATATTTTTCAAATCAAAAATATGATTCCACATACCTGACGGGGGATCTGTGCTTTATATCATAAATCATTTTAGGTGAAAAGTGCTATTGCACCCTGACATTTTTGTTAAAAAGTTACAGATTTGCATTCCTTTGATTAAAAAGCCCACAGCCAGGTGTGGACAACTTCTTTTGTCTCTAATCACCTGGGCTTGTGCTCCCGCTATGTCTAAACAGCGGGACTATAGTGATTAAAACCCAAGGTCATTCACTCCAAAGATCATTGTTACCAAGTCAACAGGGCCTTGAAAAGTAAGGTAAAAAATACTAATTTTAAGACCCATGTTGATTGTATCCCAAGTGCAATATACCAGTTTTTAAAGCTGAACTGCTTAAAAAGCGATTGCAATTAATTTAAAGTTACCTAATCTACTAAACATTTCTCATTAAAGACTAATTCATGGGTTGGGGATGTAGCTTAGTGGTGCCATGTCTTCTGGCAAGCAGGGTCCTTAGTTTGATCCCTAGTTCCACCCCCCCCAAAAAGACATTAATGATAATGACAAAGGTGATACATACTTTCATATGACTTATTCAAGTCCTGGTGATACATAACATCTTTCTTAACATGCAGGTGGCCTACTAATTAATTGTAAAGAGCCACTGGCTGACCCTGTGATCATGAATAAGTTTTCTAAAGGGGGGTGCAGTGCAGATCATAATAGCAATTTTAAGAGTTTAGTAGGTCTGTTTTCCACATGCAAAAACCATGATGGATAATTTTATGTGTCAATTTGACTAGGCTACACTGTCCAGTTACTTGCTCAAACACCAGTGTAGATGTTGCTATAAAGGAATCTTCATGTGTGATGAATATTTAAATCAGTACACCTAGGGCTGGAGATGTAGCTCAGTGGTAAAGCGCTTGCCTATCGTGTATGAGGCCCTAGGTTCATTCCCTTGCACTGGAAAAAAAAAGTCAGTAGATTTTGATAAAGGTCAGTCACCCTTCATAATGATGAGCCTCATCCAGTCATAGAGTTTAAGAACAAAGGGTAGCTTTCCTAGAGAAGGAATCTGGTTTTAGAACTGCAGCACAGTAACCCTGCCTGACATTTCCATCCTGCTTTACCTGCTCTACAAATTTAATGCTTAAAACTACAACATCAACTCTTTCCAGATTTTCTAAACTGTTGACTTCCCTATAGATTTTGGTGTTGCCATCTCTCACAATCCAGGAGACAACTGAATTGCTTAAAATAAATCTTGATAGGTAGATACAGAGGCACGTGATACAGATATAACGTCTATTTGTTCACTTTCCGTATAGACCCCTAATACAACCGCAGATAACATTCTTATGGTCAGAATTGTCTACTGAGGAAGGAAACCATGTACAGTATTATTTCCTCCTGACTGAGGTATCTGACACAAAGCATGCCAAGCACTTCAGAAAATTAATCATATAAGGCACCCATGATGGCTTACTCCAATTGCAAACATAGTTCCTAAGAGGAAGTAAGAATTCCCAGGTTGTTGCACAACACAAACCAACTAAATGAAGGCAGGCATCACAAGTGAAATTTCAGAGATCAACGAGGGAAATACTGCTGAGTGTTAAATGATCCTTATTACTAGCTTAGTGTTTCTGGCTTGATCTTTGCCCTAAGAATGCAGTGTCTAAAAATAGATGGAAAGGTTTTTTTGGTATAATTGAGGGAAAGGATAATTTTGTTAAGTAAACTGTCACACTAATGATAAAAGTCATGTTTCACGTCTACACTGAACATCGTGGTGTCTTCTGACCATGCTTGACTTCACACAAGGTGACAGCCAGCAGGCTCAACCTCATACTGGTGGCTCCCCCCGCTGTGCTTGACTTAGGAAACACTTTTGTCAACAGTTTGACTTTTAGTTCCCTGTATTGCACATATTAAAGTTATATTTGTCAAGACAGTTATTTAAGAAAAGACAGTTTTTGTAAACTCCTGAATAGAGAGAATATATTGGTCTGCTTCTGCAATGAGATTTGACCAGTCATCCATTTAAAAGACAAGTGGAAGCCAAATGAGGTTAGGTCAGGGGGTCAGGAATTGGTACATCTCCTAAATTGGTTGTTCTCACAGAAGCTGATCACAATTTTTCCTGAGAAGGAATAGTATTTTTCTTGAGTTTCTTTGGTTAATGTTTGCATTTTCTGCATTTCCCTTGTTTAATGCAAACTTTCTAGCACCAGTAACCCTCCTCTTGATCTTATTTAATAATTGCCCTTCTTGCTGATCACTGATTGGAATGTCTAGTAGTCTATTAAGTGCACAAACTCTACACGTAGTTCTGCTTTTATATTTCCCTTCCATGCACATTCATTCCATTTCTTTCTGGGTGGCTAGTAGAACTTGCATTTATGTCAGTATCCCCCACTAGACTAAAAAGATTGCCTAAGTCACTTTCCTATCTTCCCAGGACAAAATTCTTTAATCATGTGTAAATAGTATGTTTTTAGCACCCAGCATAGGGCCTAATATCTCATAGGCACAACGTATTTGTCATCCCTGTGCCTTCTGTCTTCAAGCACCCCCCAGCTCCAGGTGCCGAAGACTTCAGGTTTGCAGGCTCCCTCTCCTCCAGACTGTGAGTTAATTAGAAACATTAATTAGTTAATTAGCGGCTGAGGTCCAAGAGCATGAAATGAGTTTTGCCGCTCTAACCCCAGCATTTTGCAGTGGTGGCAAAACTACGGCATGCACGCTGCAGTGGACTGTATATTATCATGGAAAGCTCTAAAAGGTTTGCTATCACTGATTCTAGGATCTCCTGGATGAGCCCCTGGAGCACACAAAGGTGGAGAAGCTTTCTCCCTAACCCCCAACCCAGTCTGTGCTGCTTGACATCTCTGCCCTGGATAGTTGTGTGGAACAAGCACCATGTTCTGAGCCTCAGCCTATTTGGCCAGGGCCTGACCACTTCCTCAAACCAGGACTTTGTCTCCTCTCTACCAAATAGAGCTGGGTCCAGTTTTGGTGCTTTTGTAGATTGTTACCTTTGGAAGAAAATCATTCCCCTTTGCTCGGTTGTGATTACCTGTGGACCCCAGCAATTGGTCTGTAATTCTAGATACTGAAAATGACCATGATTAGACTCGAGTTTGCCATAACCAGTTGGGAATGGTTATTTGGGCTGATTCCCACCTCCCTCCTGCAGGTTTGCCAGGCTCTGGTCTACAGTGCTTTGTCTGCCAGCTTGCTCTCAAGCTCTTAGTTTACAAGAGCTCCCTCTTGGCCCAAAGAGGCAACCGTTTAGCTGTGAAAATCATCCTCATTTCCTGTTGTGTGGGTTGTTTTTTTTTTAAGAGTTATCTTTCAGAATCAAAAATTGCACCTACTGGATCAGTTTTGAAGTAATCTAGTACTATGCTACTCAAAGCATCATTACCAAACCAACAGCATCAGAAACCCTTGACTCTCAGGCCCTTCTCAGGCCTATTGAGTGAGAACTTGCATTTTAGCAAGATGATTCATCTGCACATCCAAAGTGGAAACTCCTGATCGAAAAACTGCTAAGCATAACAGAGCCACATCAAATAGAGGGGCTCTCCTGAGAAACCACTGCCAGGTTGGGAGACAAGATTCATTTGAAAAACAGAAACATTACATAAAGGAATTAGTTCTGAAACTGTAGCGACTTTACATCACTGTACTCAAGGTACCCTTAGAGTTTGCTCAAAACTCAACCTAGGTAGGTTGGAATATGAAATGCTTCTTCTAAATGGCTAATTTCTTCGGAACTTCCTTCACGTCCCTTCTGTCTCTGCCTTGTGTGAGAAAGTTATCGTGGTGGTCTATAAAACTTACCACACAGGAAATAACAGGAGGCTCTTAATTAGTGAATTCCTGCACACTATTTATGCTTTATATTTGGAGCCTTTGTACAGCC